CGGTCCGGCAGAAAAATGGAAAAGGCATGACATACTACTTGCAATTCGTGCCAGAAACTCCAATACGAACATTTCAGAGTGTTTGGGCGTCAATCTGAGGACAGTAAAAAGGATTCGGAAAGAGTTGGATGAGTCTAATGGTGATTACGAAGGTACAGTAGCTCGGAAAACTCACTGATCATTCTGATAAGAAATGAACTCCTGAATGTGTTGGTGAGCGCCTCAGACTCAACACAGGGACCGACATTAAGTGCCTTGAGGAGGCAGTGCTGCCCTGAGTCAAGAGGGCGGTTGTTGGCAGACCCTATGTCTGGCAACACGAGTCTGGACCATGCCACACAACCAGGATAACCCAGTCATAGCTCTCAGAAAATTTCTGCGACCACATCAATCCTTACATCTGGCCACCTAACTCCCCAGACTGCAACTTCCTGGATTATTATGTATGTGGTGCAGTTGAGTGAGAGACCAACAAAACTCGTAACACCAAAGATGAACTAAGGATTATGGCAGCATTCACCAAATTACACAAGGAGACCGTCCAGAAGAGATGCAAGAGATTCCGAAGTTGCCTGGAGGCCGTGTTTGAAGCCAATGGCGATTTTATTGAATTAATTTACTATTTAGTATTTCAAGATATTTTTGTGTAATTTTGGTAAATATATCAATTAAAATGAAATGTCAGTGTTATTTTCATTTTTGCGTCATTTAGAAGACAATTTATCTATCGTGCCCTGTACACGTTGGAACATGAGTAATGGAAAGGAACTAAAAATGCTGAAAAACAGAAAATAACAAAGTTATTGTGTGAAGGAATGTCCACGTTGGAGATATCAAAGGAGTTTCGCCGAGACCAGTGACTGATAAAGAGGGCTTTTTGAAAATTCACGTTGAGAACTAGAAGCAAAGGAAAATGCTTTAAGAATTTGTCTCCTCAAGTTATAGGGAAACAAACACTTTTAACCAGTGCTCATATCTTTGAACAAAATTCGGGTCTGCTAAGAAATCTCTCAGTAAAGCAAATATTTTAAAACGACCAAATTGGACCAAAAAATACATGGAAATTGAGTTCTTATAAAGTAATTTTCACGGACGAATCACAGGTGACACTCGATGGACCTGATGGATGAGCCAAAGATTGAATTTTGTCCGATACAGATGTACCTGTGGCTAAATGAATGCAGCAAGGAGGAGATGTGTGATGATATTAACTGGAATTGTCGAACAAACAATTACTGGACCATCCAATATCGATGAGTTAAACTGTACACTGCTACCTGTGCGTTCTTTAAATGGTTCAAGTTCCATCCTCGCAGTTTCAAAGTGAAGTGTGTATTTATGCACTACAATTCTTCATTCTCATATATCTACGGTTGCCGTTAATTTTTTGAGCATAAAAGGTTTACAGGGGTGAAAATAATCGAATGGCCACCATCAAGTCCCGATCTGAATCCGATCGAAAATCTATGGTCAATTGTGAAGATGAAACTATATGAAGGTGGCAAACTATATAAAAGTAAAACAGACCACCTATGGAAAGTAATTAAAATTAACCTGGCCGTTCGACAAAACTAACCTGGCTGTTTTGACAAAACTAACCTGGCCGTTCGTCTCGAAAAGGACCTCCAACCGGTTCTGAACTGGGGCAGGAATTGGCTGGTTAACTTTAACGCCTCAAAAGCAAAACTGCTCTCTATTACTCACCACAGAGAACCATCCCTGCCTCCCATTAAAATGACTGACGCTCAACTTCTCGAGAGCACCTCTTTGCGACTACTCGGTCTCACATTGAATGCTGACCTGAGATGGAACAAATACATTGAGTCAATAGCTTTGTCCACCACAAAGAAAGTTGGCTCCCTGTGCCGCACCAGGAAATTTTTCTCGTCGGAGTCGATCCTTCAAATTTACAAATCAACCATTCGCCCTTGCATGGAGTATTGCTGCCTTATATGGTCCTGTGCCCCTTCTGTTTGTCTCAAGGTTCTTGATAAGATCCAGAGACGGATATGCAATGTAATTGGCCCTGATCTGGCATCTCGTCTGCAGCCGCTCTCTCACAGACGTGTCGTCGCCTCCCTCTGTCTTTGTTACAAATACTTTCATGGTAACTGCTCCGATGAGCTGTTTTCGCTGGTCCCCAAACTTCATGAATAATAGCGTTCTACTAGGCTGGCATCTCGCTCACACCCTTTCCCTGTCGAAACTGTTAAATGAAGCCGTCTCTTCTACTCCAATAGCTTCATGTCTTGCACCTCTCGCCTGTGGAACTCCCTTCCCTCTTCCTGTTTCCCTGATAGCTATAATCTCCAACTATTCAAATGTAATGTCAACCGACGTCTCCAGATGCCCTGATCTATCCCCTATCCTTCTCTTCATCCTTTCCTCTATCACTCCTATTTGCTCTAGCTCCAACTCTCCCTAACCCCTTGCGTGCTAGTAGCTTCCCGCCTTGCTTGGGGTGAAACACTTAAAAAAATTAAAAAATTAAAAAAACTGCCATATCGAAAATTGAAGCTGCTGAAGTAAAAAAACTTTTAAAAATCGATAATAGATTACTGGTTGTTATTGAGAAGAAGAGTCACTATATTAAGATGTAAAGGCTTCAAAGACTTATCATATATGTTTGTTTGTTATTTGTTCTATTATCGGTGTTGATCAATTATTGATGGCTTTATGCCTTGTTATTGAAGTAAAGACTGATTTTCTGGGTTTGCGTAATAAATTCAGTCTGGAGATGTTTATAATAAATCCAATAACTTTAATGAAATGTTGAAACTCAAGCTTTGTTTTGACGTCGAAATGAATCGCTTAAAATTTGAAAAAATTGTTCAAAGCGAATTCAAGTTATGTGACAGATACAGATAGGGAAAATAATGACATAATGATAATGATAGCTTTTCCCACGATCATAAACAAAAGGTTAGGAAGGAAACGCCCAACACTACTAGATAGAGCAATAACACTTAGTTGACGTGTGAAGACTTCCTGAAAAACTGTGTTCGATTACCGAATTCTGAATGATTCTTGTATGGAAACAGCTAATCTTTCATAACCAAGGTTTCGTGTTCGGATCCAAGCAAAATTACAGATATTGAAGACTTATTACCAGTGAGAGAAGGTTTCCATTGTTGACAAATCGGCACGACACAATCTTACCTTATCAGTTTGCCTTTATACTCTTAAAAGCAATAAAAACTTCGCCTTTTCTATAAATTCTTTCATGGTAATTGTTCCGAAGAGCTCATCGCTATGGTACCAAGACATTTTGAATTTAAGCGCAGTACTTGACTGGCATCAAGATCTCATCAATTGACAGTTGAGATGGCTAGATGCAACCGTAAGTTCTATGCTAACAGTTTCTTCTCTCGCTCTTCTCGTTCGTGGAACTCCCTTCCCGCTCCATGCTTTCCAGCCAACTTTAATCTGCATCAATTTAAATGCAATGCCAATCGCTATCTACTGTCCTCCTGATTCCTCTTCTTTTATTCTCGCTCCTTAGCAACATTCCACGCACAGATTGTGTCTCAGTGCCTTTACTGGCTTGCTTTGAATGAATTAGATTTAAAAAATAAATAAAATGTAATTTTGTGCTTATATAAAGTTCCCCTTTGATATATGTGCACAAAGATGTGAAAAGCTGCTTTTCTCTTATCTTACAAATGAACAGGATTGACTTGAAAAATCAGTATTCATTCGATATTTTATCATTTGCCTGCGCTTGAACACCGGCAATAGGATAAACAGGCAACATTTTAATCTCATAAGCAGCGTCTAAATAAGTAAATATTTTATAGACACGAACGCATACTGTGATGTTATAACTAATGCATACGCATTACTGCATTCACACACAGACAAACGCACATACACGATCAGGCACGCACATTGAGGCAAACAATGATAAAATCTTATTAATCGGTAATGTATTTGAACGTGGCCAAGTTTGACACAAAGGAGCAGGCAGTTAAAATCAAATTCACTATCAATAGCCTGCAAGATAAATCTGTTAAAGTCAGCGCTAAGGTAGGTGTCTGTCTGTTAGATAAGAATGAGTTTCGTTTCTCTCAAAATACGTACACCGCTTTAGAGAGAGTGAGAGAGTTTCTGACATCAGTGCCTGCAGATAAGTGTCCTCCTCCATCACCTTTTTGCCCACCTCTCTTTATCCGTAGCTTTTGGCGATGGCTGCTCTTCTTGCCATCTCTTCCTTATCACAGAGACACATTTCGTTTCGCCCAGGAGAGAATTGTCCCTATTTCTCTTTTCATGTTTAACCAGCGGTAACAAAATGTCGGACAAAATTATGGGATAGAAAGAGTTTTTTTTCTTTTTTTTTTTTTTTCGTGGAAAGGCTGGAGGAGAAAGAAAGAAAGAAAGAAAGAAAGAATCAATCACTCAATGAATATAACAAATAGAAAAAACTAAATTAAAAGCAAACGGAATTCAAACGTGCAAGAAGGAATAATTCAGAAGGAAAATGAAGATTTTATACTTTAAAAGCTGAAGTAAGATTTATCAAAGTCTGAATGAATTTCAATGGAATATGTAACGTATTTCTACTTTTTAATAATGTTCACCCAAATCAAGGCCTAAGAGCTACTCAAGGTAGAGGGTTTCTGTGTGGAGTTATATTAGCGTAGGAGAGGACAAGCGTTAGTAGTATGAAGATGAATTAGACATTAGAAGGAACCGGAAACCCAATCCTAAACTGAAAACAAGGGATGGATCTCTACTGCTGTCCAAAAGACCGGGGAGGAGTCTGATATAGTATCGATATCTTAAAATCGAGATTCTTTCCTGGGTTTTCTTTCTAAGAAGAGTTCTGTTAGCATCGGTAACATCCTGTCATACTTTTACAAGAGTGAAAAGATAAGTAAAAAAAAATGGGGTTCATTAAGAACATAATGCTCAAGTATATTACAAAAAGCTTTTGACTGAGAGAAGTAACTCTCTCGTAAGTATAAAGGATTTTCTTTTCGAAATGGCGCTTTTCCAAATCAAACAATAAAGCTTCGTATATGAAGTTCGATTGCTTTGAGTGGGGGTGAGGTGAGGTTGGTGGGAGATATCGGGGGTGGTGAAAGGGTGGAGACTAGGAGGTGGGTAAGCGACACAACAACGAGAGAGTCAGAAATAAGGAAAGAAGTAAAATTAAAATGAGAAATGAAAGAGTAATCATGTCCTAAAGCAACAAATAAGAAATAACCGAATGAGATACCGGGGAGCGGAGAGCGGAGGGTGGAGTCGAGAGAAAACACGAAAAGGTAATAGAAAGTAGAAGCTGATAAATGAAACATAGTAATGGGCAGGGGGAAATGAGGTAGACGCCATGAGAACTAGAAAGGTGTGAAGGAAGGAAGGAAGGAAGGAAGGAAGGAAGGAAGGAAGGAAGGAAGGAAGGAAGGAAGGATTTTGCTGAAGAATGAGATACGTACGCAAAGAAGAGAATAACAAAATAATATGAAAGCGGATACAATTAAACGAATAAGAGAATACGAAAATGAACAAGAAGATCAATGAAAAGCAAAAAATATTTCAAAATGAATGAAACAAACAAGAAACAAACAAACAAACAAAATAAAAAAGAAGGAAAAGCAAATGAATGGATTGGAGACAAAGAAAGAAAGAAAGAAAGAAAGAAAGAAAGAAACAAACAAACAAACAAACAAACAAACAAATAAATAAAGAAAGAAAGAAAGAAAGAAAGAAAGAAAGAAAGAAAGAAAGAAAGAAAGAAAGGGAGGTAAGAACAAAGTAAAAAAGAAGGAAAAGCAAATGAATGGATTAGTGACAAAGAAAGAAAGAAAGAAGCACCTTTCTATTGTTATATTAAAAAAAAAAAAAAAAGCAGACAAGCGCCAGGCAACAGCCTAACAGACTGAAAAATGATTCCTAAAAACGAAAGGTTCCGGGCACGAGACCCAGTGTAGGAGACATAATGTGGTAAAAGCAAAAAAAGGAACAATCTGAAGGTGTGATGTATATGTAAAAATAACACAAAAAAGATTTGGGCAGTAAAACAAAAATATCCAAAAAAGAAATTTATTTCGACCAACTCTATCGACATCTTTTGGGGTAGATCTGTATGAGTTTACTCTGTTTTCCTGCCCCAACAGCCATAAAACAACACTGTCATACTATTTGGCCTAAAAGCAACACGAACCATAGACACTATCAATTTTGCCAATATTCAGTTGTAGCCAGAATGCAATTTGCCTCGGGTTTTTTCTTCATTGCATCGAAAATTGATTTCATTATTTTTTGTTTATGAGTGTCACTAGATTTCAGTATCATACAAAAACTGATACGTTTTATATACTTGTGTACTTTTATATTTGTACTTTGATATTGTGTACTTTGATCTTGTCAGAGTGAAAAATTATTCTAATAAATTAAAGTCATGAAACGTCAAAAAGAGGAAGAAACTTGTAAGTTTATGAGAAGAGTAGAGAAAACGTTCTTCTCCAAAAATGTACCACTCTTTTGTTAATGCTAAATGATTCTATTCTATGCTCTGCTATTCTTAAATATAAGTATGGATTTTGTAACATTGTTGTAGTTCATAAAAATGTCCAAAACTGGATGAAGGTAAAAATAAAATAATTAGAAATCTTCCCCCGTCAGAATTATGTTCAACCTTGATAAGGGAGAAAAGTATGCACATGCAAACATTAATCTTATATTGGTATGGATTATCTCCCCTTATACGTATTCCGTATTTAAGTCAGTCCAGTAGGACATTCTTCATTTTAAGTTGAAAAAAGACACCTCAGCGTAGTGTAATGGTTAGCAAGCTTGTCTTGCTAGATCAGTTACTACTGAAAAGTGAGTTCGATCCCCACTGGATGCCTCATACTTTCGGCCTTGTGCCACGTCTAAGCTACGCTTGGAAAATCTCTACGTTGAATAAAGTTTAAGTTACACCTGCGTTCATTTTCTAAGTACACTTATAAAATTCTTAATACTGTTTCAAATATTTCAGTTATCAATGATCAAGTCAAAGCATAAAAAGTGTGCAAAATTTATAAAAATTTAGTAAACATTCATCTCGTAATTATTCGGTTTCAACCTGTCGGCCACGATTATTTGCAGCAAAAGAGATACACCTTTCAAAAGTTCTGTAAACGCAACTCGACGTTGATTTCTCAAAGTTCAAATCTGAGTCTTTAAAGTCTTTTATTCAACCACTGAGTCCCTGTGGAAGTCGTTTTCTTGTCTCTAGATGTCGCCAGACTTCACTCTACTGCAGTTTTTGTCTTGGATTGGAGGCATTCAGTCTGTCGTAGATTTAATTTTGTTAATTAATTAATTGATAGGAACAAATTAATCACGTCTATTACTTAGAAAATTTGATTGAATCACGTTTTAACTTTTTTTGACACATTGATTTTTATCACCACCTTTGTTTAGTTAAAACTGTCCCAAATTACAATAGAGTATTCTCTCCCTCCCTCTCTCTCTCTCTCTCTCTCTCTCTGCCGCTCTTTCTGTCTATCCCTCTCTCTCTCTTTCTGACTCACTCTCCATAGCGCTCTCTTCCCTTTCTTCCACCCACCCCTCTCTCCTTCTTTCTCTCTCCCCCTCTCTCCGCCTGTGTGTGTGCCTCTCTTCCTCTCTCTCTCTCTTTCTGTGAGTGTCTGCGCTTGCGCGTTCGACGAAAGACATCTTAAATCACATGAATTAAACATTGGCTCCTACAGACACAAGTCGATATTCTTAAAGTTAACATAGTCTGACACAGAGCCTAAAATTAGGAGCTTCTCGGAAACAATGATCTCACTACGTCCGTAATTACAGTCGCTCTATGTAGGGATGATGAAACGATTGTAATCAGATAGACAAAAGTATAGCTGCTTTAAAAAAGAAGAAAAAAAAAAAGAATTGTTACTGTTGTATTTTTTTACTTTCATGGGTGCATTTTTTTTCTTCGCTTTGCAATGTTCCGGATTTAGAACGAGAATGGACGGCAGAAAAGAAAAAAAATGATGTGTACGACAAGAAGAAAAATGCTTTATAAAGATGGCGAAAACAAAAATGTTTGATAAAAGAAGGAGCGAAAATAGAAAAGATGGGAAAGAAAATAAATTAATAACTGGTAGGATTGTTAAACAGGAGGAAAATGGTCGACAGGAGATCGCTAGTGAGGATATGCGTTGAAAGAAAGAAAGAAAGAAGTGAAAACATATAAAAAAGAAGGAAATAAAGAAAGGAAAGAAAGGGAAAATACGCGAATATAAGTAGAAAGAAAATATTCAAATGAAGGAGGTAAATAAAGTATATGAATGAGACAGAATTAAGTGTATCTAAAGGGGAAAATTCGCAGAACATAAAGGAAAGAGGGAATCGAAATATGCTAGAGCAAGTGTGATATAAATGAACAAATCAGCAAAAAGAATAAATTAAACGGTTTTGCAAAAAAAAATGAAATGAGGAAGCTTGAGCGTATGAATGAAAAACAAAATGTAAATAAAAACGATTTGAAAAAAGCTGAAGGAAAAGAAAGAAAACTGTGGACGAAAATCGCTGAAAAAATCTACAAGAAATGAATGAAAAAAAACGCAGGAAACAGAAATCTGCAGAGATTTATAAAAAGATAAGTCTAAAAGAAAATCTACATCTGTAAAAAACAAAAAAAAAACAAATATGGCGGTCGAGGCGGGTAAATCAAGATGAATGATGAGGAAAAAAAGATAAGTTGAAGAAAAAAAATTAAATTTACGATTGGTTTATTGTGGACCAACGGTTTCTTTTGAGATTTGCTTGAGGTGCAATGTGGCAAGTTCCAAAACAAAATAGCAAGAAAGTTTTTGAGTAAAATAAAAAAATAAAAACAGATTATTATTAGCTGAAACCGTCGCCACTATCGTTGGTGTTGCCGCCATGATGGTAGTCGATCTTGTCGTCATCATTGTAGTGGTTGTTTACACCTTTGTCGTGTAAAACAGTTTTGTTACGAGCATTTCAATAAAGAACGAAAAGCAAGTCATGATGGAGCCAATCGAAAATATTTGATTATATGACACCCGCATTTCTGATCGTTGCAGCCAGGAGAAAGTCCCTTAAAATCTGCTTTCCTAGGTTTTACTGTTTCGTCACTAGAGCCAAGAGGAAATACATGAAAATCTAACAGTAGGTTTACTCAGTATCGAATATTTCATCACTGGGAATTATTTGACAATCAGGCATCATAGGATTTATTGAGTTTCGATCACTGGAAACAATAGAAAATATTTGAAAATCTGTCAGTACAAAAATAATTCAAAATTTGACATCCTAGGTTTTACAGTTTCGATGACTGGAGCCATCAGAAGATACTTTACAATCTGACACCTTATATTTTACACATTTTCGATCAAAAGAGCCAATCAAAAATGCTTGATAATCTGACATACGTGATTTTTCTCAATTTCAAACCCTGGAGCCAGTTGAAAATAGTTAACAATCTGATATCCTAGCTTTTACTGTTTTCGATCATTGGGGTTTTACTCAGTTTGAATATTCTCTTCCGTTCACTGAAATCAATGGAAATTGTTGATAATCTGATATTCAACAGAATTTCAGTCACTAGGTAATTTCGGAAATAACTGAGAATCTAACTTGATACGTTTTACACTTTTTCGATCACCGAGGTCAATGGGAATGCTTGACAGTCTGACATCATAGTTTTTACAATGTTTCGATCAGTGGAGCCATAGAAATGACTTGACTTTCTGACGTTCTAGTTTCTATTCACTGTCGACCCAATGGAAAATACTTAAGATAATCTGACATCCTAGGCATTACTCTGTTTCGATCCCTGAAGCCAAACAAGACAAACTATCATCCGATGTTTTACTCTGGTTTTATCACTATATATATATATAATAGCTGGCCACTCGTATTCGAGGATACTTGTCAAACTAGGACATCTAGCCAATCTTTATTGCAGACGCTCGCTCAGGCACATTTGTGTTTGTTCAACAGCCACAGAGCCAACCCGTGATTTATACTGAAACTGTTTAGCAGACCTTAGTTACCGTTTCTGGGAGATATCGTGTTATCTAGAATGATCAACAATCTGAACAACACCAGCACACTCAAAACCTCAGCTATCAATGGCCCCAAGGGTTCCGTCTACCCAATTTCACTCACAAGGCTTGGGTCAACCCGTGGTATGGTTTTCAGGTATTTTTCAAAGGTACCGCACGTTAGGATCGCCGACTCCAGGCCGGTAAATGTTGTTTAATACTGTTTATTATAAAACAGAGCATTTACTTAAATATTTGTATCTATAAAAAGAATGTATAAACATAAAAATGTCTTAAAATAATTGTCGGACTTTGTCCATTTCATATTGTGTGATGTCATTTGTTTACATTTGATACGCCATGAGCAGATATGAATGTACGTGGGAGATTCATAGAAGATTGAAGTTCAAATACAGTAAATTCGACCTGGCTAACCAAACGCTCCTCTGTTAAGGCACGTCAAGCTAAATGACGGTTCCGTATAGGATACTGGTTCGAATCCTGTCGGAGGACGAATATTTTCTGTGAACATTTCTCGGACATTCAGGCCGGTAAATTTTGTTTAATACTGTTTATCATAAAACAGAGCATTTACTTAAATATTTGTATCTATAAAAAGAATGTATAAACATAAAAATGTCTTAAAATAATTGTCGGACTTTGTGATATATATATATAAAACTGACTAAAATTATTGTCACGGTGTTAGTTCCTTTAATTCATGGAGAATAACATTTTAAATATTGTTGCAGTTCAGTTGAATCGCTATTTTACGTCGGGACAGTTATATATTTTTTACATACACTATGATAAAGGCAAATATATATACTGTATACAATGCAGGTAATGCAACATACTTTAGACAAAGTCAGTAACTTAGACGAAACAGATGACAAACCTCCAAGAAAAAAAGAAAGAAAGAAAACTTAAAACTATATTTTATCACACTGAATTTAGATTGATTGGAATTAATTTTTGTTTTTTATTTGTTTTATATCAGTAAAAACGCTAAAATCATTCATATTAGCAAATCTATCCTCACAACGAAATTCTCTTTATTAAAAATTATTTAAAAAATAAAATATAATTTTCTGAAACTTTATTTGTTGAAGATTAGCTTATTTATAGTTTAATTAATCATATTTGAAACCAATATTGGGAGTCGTTTAATTATTATTATTAAATTATTCCCATTAAATTTTTTTTTAAAAACGAATATAATTCTTGTCAAAATTCATGATTCATCCCACAATAGTGTCAATAATATATTTTATATATCAAAACAACAGAAAAATTCTGATTAGTTCATTATTTACATTATTCGGGCTATTGTCCTCATCTTTGTCGCCGTATTTATTACAACGTTTCGGCCATTGTGCGCTCCGGCCTTCTTCACGTCGTTGTAATGTCGAACTGAACCCTTTATTTCGCTCAACGGGGTAGACTGTTCTAGTTCCACGTGCCATGTTTAATGGATGTCAGTTATCAGTTATCTCCTGTTAATTTCCCTCTGAAAGTTCTCCACTGCCTTAACCGGGTATTGAACTCACACTCTTTGAGTCCTGTCACTGGATCTAACCAACGCCTTTACAGTGCCATGTGCCATGTGTCTTTCAAGACATCTGTGTATGAATTTCTAGGTATTATAAACCTAATGCCTTCAGCAACCTTTTTTTACAGGTGCTCATATTGCAATTTTTTGTTGTTATTATCGCTTTTCTCTGGCACTCCTTATTACTGGTTCCCATATTTTATTCATTTCTATGCTTGGTCGGCTCGGGAGATTTTTGTGGCCTAGCATATATGCTGATTCCTTAAGTTTACGAATTTTCCAATGGTGTTCCTTGTCTATGATCTCAACATGATCCCACAGAGGGCGGTGATCTCCCTTTTCTCTCCATATGTGGTCAGCCACGCCTGATTTTTCCACTTTCCCTCGTGTTACAGCTTTCTTAAGGGGGCGGCTTGTTTCCCCTTTATATTTCTTTCCGCAGCTGCACGGGATAGCGTGCACACAGTCTTTAGTCATGTTCTTCTCTATGGGGGGGTCATACTTGGGAGAGATATCTGCGAAGTGTTATCAAGCTTTTGAAGATTGTCCTGATGTTATATGGACCGCAGATCCTTTGTATTTTCTCTGATAACCCCTTCACTTAAGGCGTATATATATATATATATATATATATATATATATATATATATACATTAAGAATTGGACAAAGTCCGACAATTTATTAAAGACATTTTTATGTTTAACATTCTTTTTATAGATACAAGTATTTAAGGCACGTCAGCGTAAATGACGGTTCCGTATAGGATGCAGGTTCGAATCCTGTCAAAGGACGAATATTTTCTATGAAAATTTCTCGGACATTCAGGCCGGTAAATCTTATTTAATACTGTTTATTATAAACAGAGTATTTACTTAAATACTTGTATCTATAAAAGAATGTTAAACATAAAAATATCTTTCTATATATATATATATATATATATATATATATATATTCCAACAGGTTTGGTCAAGTAATTTAGACGTATCATGTCGATTAGTTTTCGTTGTGATCCTTTCAAGTTCACGGATTCATTTTTTGTTAGACTTAGAAAATTGAGTAAGAAAAATACCAAAATTTTCATTCGGGTAATTTTTATTTTCCCAAGTACTTTCAATCATATCTGAGACCATCTTCAGTTGGTTATGTTGTCTGTGAGTATGTATATATGTTTCTGTGAATTTAAAACATTTCAAATGTTCGTTTTTTACTGTTTATGCAGTTTCTAGATTTCAAAGTTCACGTGTTCTTTTGAGTTTTTTTCCAGTATAAGGGAAGTAAATTTTTTGTTGTTGCTCATACGCATGTAATTTGTTTTTTTCTCATAAGCATTTAAGGATTTTGTTGCTCTACTCATAGTTGACTTTATTTATTTCGGGCTTTAGTTCTCTTATTTAAAGGGCTTCCAAGATTTTTACTTTTTGCTTGTTATTGTTTTTATGTAATATAGATATATTTTCAACTAATATCCGTCTAATCTATGAGTGTGGACATGAGTGTTTCTTTAAATACTGAGTTAATGAACTATGCTCAGCCAAATGAAATGTAAGTCTTTTTGTTAGCATCGTCGTAGTAAAGCCAACATCGTAAAAAATTAATCCGCGAACTTGAAACGATCACAATGAAAACTAATTGACATGATATGTATAAAATATTTAACCAAATCTGTTTGAATGAAAATACGTTGCATATATATATATATATATATATATATATATATTAAATAAAAACAGACCACTTTAAGGTTCCATGTAACAAAATTATTTCACCAAACCTTTTAAAAGTGCGGATGATGATCCGCAGTCCTTTTAAAAGGGCTGTGGTGAAATAATTTTATTACATGGAACCTTAAAGTGGTCTGTTTTTATTTAAATTATTTGCTCTAGATTTACATTGAGCTCTCTGGATTTTATCCTCCTTAGGTTTACCCATACGGATTACCTAGTTTTTCATAAACTATATATGCATATATATATATATATATATATATATACAGAGAGGGAGAGAGAATATCCATAACATCTCTTTACGATTTAAAAACATATTACAAAAGCAAATAAACAGACAAAATTGTGAAAATTGTTACAAAAATGAGGAATAGATACTGAAGTTTTTTGAACTAATTTAATCCACCTCTGTATGGGCGCCATTAGTTGCACGAAGCACATCAAGATGGTACTCGATTTCTTGCCATGTTTGCTGTAGTATAGCCTCATCAATGGTGGCAATGTCATCAGTGATCTTTTGCTTTCTACCGTATCTGGAAATGTTAGGGGTTCATTTAACAGTACCTCATTCATAAATAGGATACCGGAAATACACAGATGCAATGTGATTAAAATTCTTTGATAATTACTGAGTACATAGAACAAATCTGATTACGATATCTCATCAATTGTCTTTGTAATATATTCTTAAAATTGCAAAGAGACTTTATGGACACCCTGTATATACTTGCGCGCGCGCGTGTGTGTGTGTGTGTGTGTGTGTGTGTGTGTGTGTGTGTGTGTGTGTGTGTGTGGATTTGTAAACAACCTAAACCTTCCAACAAAACCCGCTGAGAGGAGTTAGTTAAATGTAAACATTCCAACGTTTCGGATCTACTCTCCATTTCCGGATGCATTCGTCTGTTAAGATGGCTGACAAATCCCTGTTGCAGGCGCCTGCTCCTGCTAAGGCACATTTGCATTTGTTCAAAACCCACAGAGCCCATCTGTGATTTATACAGTAACTATCCTGAGCGGACTTTAGTTACAGTTTCTGAGACAGACAGACAGACAGACAGACAGAGAGTGCATAATCTGGTATGATCAGTAGTTTGAAGAAGGCCAGTTGGTGCAAACCCTCGGTCACGATAGATAGATAGATAGATAGATAGATAGATAGATAGATAGATAGATAGATAGATAGATAGAATTGAACAGAAGGCTATAGATATGAACTAATAGATAGATAGATAGATAGATAGATAGATAGATAGATAGATAGATAGATAGATATTTGATAAGATTTATTGATTAAAACATTAGGTGAAAACATTAGTAAAGTTGAGGCTGATATTGATTTCTGGAGCTTGCAGCCCGGTTGCAATTCTTCGTCATGACAATGATTTTTGTCGCCGCCCTGGTTTCGCGTACAACAATAATGAATCTAACCCCGCCAGAATTATCAGCCCTAACCCTTGCCCAACAGCCTATCAACATCGGGTTGGGTGGGGATTAATGAAGCCGGATTATTCACTGATGTGTCGCCCGTGGCCAATAATGTTTAATACAGTCGAATGAATGTCTTCTCCCGACTTGTTGATTTTCCTGTAAATACAACATCGTTCTGACAATGGCGTGTCGGGCGAAAGGCGCCAGTTGACAGCCGCTGGTGATTTGCTTTGCACTTCCGACAATAAAAGAACAAATTAAACCTGAACCAAATTTATCCCTGTACTGGATTTACCTAATGGATCCATGATATTCGACTAAAATTCAACTTAGAGATACCATTAGACTCAAGATGTAGCAAATAGATCGATCTGTAATAAAACGTGCTCAGCCTAACCATGATTAATCTAGAAAAAACGACGAACAAAGTTTGTATTATATTTAATTGATAAAATTTACTGAGATGAAAAATATGACGCAAAATTCAATCCAATAAATGAATTTACGAAACCTTAAATTAATTTCTTGTTGACAAATCAACCAAAGAAATATAATAAAAATTAAAAAGGCAACCAATTTTTTTTTTAAATTAATATAATGCAATCATTTAACACAAAAATAAAATATGGTCAAAATAAAATTTAGAAAAAAGCGACACTGATTAATGTTTGTATTAGACGAATCAGATATATTTTTAGATATGTTTCATACCTCTAGACAGATCTGTTCGGACTGTGCTGTCAAATACTCTGCCTTGAGCAGAGAGAAACCCGGACGAGATTTTGCTGAAGGGCAAAGTTTCGTCCGGGGAGGTAGACAGGCCCTGAGGTAGACAGGTAGTAGACAGGCCCTGAACCCGTTTATGCGGGTTCTAAGGAAATATTTTTGGCCGAGCCTACGGACTCGGAGAACCCACGTTAAACGCGGCATTGTGCCACATACATCCCTCGTGGGGGGGGGGCTGTTAAATATAACAGTCATCATCAGCATTGTCCTCAAGTTCTACTCTTCCTGAAAATTGCTATTGTTTTGCTGAATTTATTCTTCATGGAACCCAGTCTAAGTACTGCTTATAAATTAGTAAACACGCGTTTTTCCAATAACTAGCATTATGTTGAAAAATAATTCTTTGTAGGACAGTCTTCTGTTAAAATTAGAAACCAAAGTCTTCGGTTAGAAAATATGGAACATTATAGACAATATTTTCGACGTCGTGATTGGGTATAATGTATGGTTAAGCCCTCCCCATTCCTAGAAATGGGTTCCACTGCGTACCGCTTATTCTCTTTTTTATATATAAACCGTAAACAAAGCGCTCAATGTCTCTTAGGTAAGTAAGTTATAATGATCGCGCTCAAGTCAACCTTGCGCAGAGTTGGAACAACTAACGAAAATGTTGATTTACTTCTTAGGTGGAGGTATTGGAAAACACATGCTAACGCCATGCGTTGGAAAATTGGAAAGAGAGTTCAGTCGTCAATGGAGCGGCGAAACGAACACGTCCCAGCTGGGACGATCTTTTTTCCACTACACCTTGGAGCAAGAGGGAAGTGGGACGAGAGGAAGGAAAATTCTTGTCCTTTTATAGACTTAATCAGCGCCACCTGTAGGCGTTTGACAAAGCTAAGTGGAGTAACAAAATTTCCGGTCCCTTTATTACTAAAATCATGGGAACCTTTTTCTTTTTTATTATTCCTTATTATTATTTTACTTATTGATTTTATTTCATTTTCCCACAATTCATTTCTATCAGAAATTGTGTTGGGTTGGTGAAGGCTACAGAATGTTTAAATCTCAAAAAATCATACGTCTATGTGTGGGTGTGCGTGGGTGTCAATTTCTTATCTACTTATGTGAATTTATTTATATTAATTCATATAATGTGTCACTGGGACGATTATTGAAGCGGATTTGGTTTTCATTAGTTTTTCCCCCCGACTTTTGATAAAATCTAAACACAGATTCATAAGTGTTTATACTTAATATATGAAATTATTGATTAGTCAAGAAAAGACAATTTGGACAGTTTTCAAATCAATAATTAAAAGAGTCAAGTTGCAAAAATAAATCCTAAAATAAAAAACCGAAAAACATGGAATCAAAATGGAAAAAGCGCAAGAAATCTCAGTCGACAACAAACGAGTTTCGAGAAAATGAAGAAACAAAGAGAGAGAGAGAGAGAGAGAGAGAGAGAGAGATAGTGTGTGAGGGGTGAGGAAACGCAAAAACATTACAGAGAGAGAGAGAGAGAGGGTGGGGGTGGTAAGAGCCTAAGGGAAAAGGTTGCGACTTCAGTCGCATTCTTTACTCAAGGGTGACTCCACTTGTGACTTTTATTAATTTGGACAGAAGCTGATCACTTCCGACTGAGTAATTGAGCCCGCCAGTCAAAAATGTCAGTGATAGGGCGACCAGCTTTTGATCCCCTGAGTAAAGCAACGTCCCTGCTCCAACTCTTTCTCTTCCGCGTTACGACTTCAGTCTATTCGCAACCGGACTCTGTTTCCGTTTCTCGCTTCTCTCTCAAATGGTGTTTTCCATTTTGCACTCACCCCCTCCCTCTCTCTCTCTCTCTCTCTCTCTCTCTCTCTCTCTCTCTCTCTCTCTCTGGTAGTAAAACCTTTTTCTGTTTTACAATATATGCATATTTATATCTATTGATCGATCAATCAGCTTATCTTTATGCCTTTTATGTTGTCTCACTTTGCTCATATATATATATATATATATATATATATATATATATATATATATATATATATATATATATATATATATGAGGAATAAAGTATAATATATACACTAAAACAAATCCACATAATAACCAAAAACATTTGCGGTTTTTCTCATTTCTTAAAATATACATTTTTCTCTCTTTGGAACAACAATAACCTTTTTCCTATACATACATACATACATACATACATACATATATATATATATATATATATATATATATATGTGTGTGTGTGTGTGTGTGTGTGTGTGTGTGTGTGTGTACAGAAGTAATGGTTTTTTATTTATTAATCCGACAGATTTTATCACTTTAAACGCTATATATACATATATATAACACACACATATTATATATATACGTATATATATTTACGTACATATATATATATATATATATATATATATATATATACATACATACAGGAATCCTTCGATTAATGCGACTAATGTGTACATTAAAAGATACGCATTAATCGAAAATGTGTTAATCGAATCTAATAACTTATAGGAAATGATGTAATTTGTACCTCAAATTTTAGTCTCCTTCTCAATTAATTTCTAATTTGCGTGCTTTTTAATTAAAATATAGGTACATATAAGAAGATGAAATAAAATGCTATAAATTAATGTTTATTAATCTGATTTTTTATGAGAAAAAAAAGCTCATTTAGATTCGTTCGCCGTCTTGTATTCTTCTATTCTTTATACAATTGGCGGTGCTGAAAAATTGTCCCTTCAATTTTCCAAACATATCATAAATCATTTGTATTTAAAGCTGAACATTTTCTTTATAATCTTTCTATAGTAAATGCAGACATCTTTTACTTTTATATTTTGATATTTTTTTAATATATGTAAATTTCTCAGTCTAATTAAATCGTACATTTTTTTTAACAAAAAATCAAAATTTTCCTTTTACAACCTTCAAAATAAACATGAAAAAATCAAAATATTAAAATAATCTTAATAGAGAGAAATATTTATTTTAATTATCGGCTCATTTTATAAAATTTATCCATTTATAACCGTCCATTTTTTTTAAACGCTACTATAATTATTTAGATAACGTAATACTTAACAAAAAGAATAGTTAACCATTTTCCATTTTTAAATTTTAGAAAATTTTTAATTAATCAGAAACTATAAAAAAAATCAATTTTCAATTACAATGGTTAAACAGAATTATGTTTTACAGCTTTAACCGAATATATTCACTGTATAATGTTCATCACTGAATTAAGTGCATTGACAAAGTTGGTGATTATTTTTAGATATTTGTAAAAAAATGTTTTTATCTAATGACTTATTGATTTAAATATGCATCGATCTATCGATCTATTCTAATATTTCCTGGTTGCATTTGTGTTTCGAATTCTAAAGCTGCATCACGTCACAAAATATTGGCGCAGTACAATCTTTCAAAATTTTATCTGTCGGTACAATCTTTCGCCAGCAAACTCTACAATAAACTAGTCGAGGATCGAGTTTTACGCTTCAGTTGAGTTCAAACCTGAGCGCCTACTCTACCGTTTATCCGCCATGAATACTCCACTGTTGTGGCCTTGTGCCAGATTTGGTGAACACTATTTCTCTCATAGTTTGCTATGTTCACATCTACTTCTATCTCTTTCTCTCTCTCTCTCTCTCTCTCTCTCTCTCTCTCTCTCTCTCTCTCTTTCAGTCTGTTCATCTATCTATCTCTTAGTCTGTCCGTCTCTTTGTCTAAGTCTGTTCATCTTTCTCTCTAAATCTGTTTATCTTAGTCCTCTATTTCAAAATCTGTTCATCTCTCTCTCTTTCTCTCTCTCATTCTAAATCTTATGATCTCTCGTTTTCTCTCTTTTTTCATCTCTCTATATATATGCTTATCGCTCTTTCTTTTTCTAAGTCTGTTCATCTCTCCCTCTCTCCCCCTCTTTCTCTCTTTGTCTGTATATCTGTCTTTTGATCTCTAATTCTGTCAATTTCTCTCTAAGTCTGTGTATCTATCTATAAGTCTGTACATCTCTATGTCTTTTTCTATCTCTAACTGTTCATCTCTCGCTTTCTAAGTCTCGTCGACTCTCTGACTCTCTCTCTCTCTCTCTGTTCTCTAAGTCTATGCATCACTCTCTCTTTCTAATTTTGTTCACTTTCTCACTCTCTTTCTAAGTCTGTTCAATTCGCTCTCTTCATTTTTCCCCCTCTCTCGCTTTCAATCTTTTATCACCGTCCTCAATCTATTGTGCGCTTTTTGTGTGTACAAGAATCGTTTGTACTTGCATATGTTCATTCACTCACACCCACATACACACACACACTCGTGATCGAATGCACATTCACACTCTTCGTTGCTGGAGGAAATCTCTTGCCTGAGCACCAATGAGCCGTTGCCAATCAAATGTACTCAGCTAGTCAAGGTTCTTTCTTACCAAATTGAAAATTGTCCGAGGCGTTTTAGAGAGAGCTAGCCACCTCAGTCGCTACGATTAATGACTGACCCGTGGGCAACTTTTTATTTATGGGGGAGCTCGCATGGACCAACGGTGTAGACAGACCAATCCGAAAGAGAGATTGTGACGAATAAGATGATGAGTGAGTTAAAAAAAAAAAAAGGAGAATTATATAATTACTAGTGAAAGAAAAGAAAATGAATAACATTTGGAAAAAAAAGAGAAACTGGAAAAAGAAAAGGTGTATAAGAAAAAGAAAAGGAAAATAGAAATGGACAAAAAAAAGAGAAAAAGAATGAAATATGAGGAGCTACATCTTAGATATACAGATAGTATGAATGAGGAAGTGAGCGGAAAGAAAGCGGAATAGTAAGTGAAGAGAGGGATGTGAAAAAAAGCGGTGGAACAAAAGAGAAAAATGACGAAACCAGAAGGAGAGAGAGAGAGAGAGAGAGAGAGAGAGCGAAAGACGAAAGAAAAAAAAGAAAAAGATGGATGGCGGTTCAAGAGTACGCGTAGAGTTCATCGATTGATTGGAAGAACAATGAAGACGATGGTCGAAGGTGTAGGAGAAGCGGTGTGTTGGAATAAACTGTGGCAGGTGAACAAACTGGCAAGTCCCCATCATTAACACGACCTGCCAGTAAACCAGGGGGAGATAAGTGAACGTCTTGATAACGGAGAAAATGCCTGGGAACTTTGTTGCTCGGTTGATGTCAGGAGACCCAATTGATGTTAGAGATGGAAGGTGGGAAAAGAAAAGAAAGATTGTTGAAGTGGGGCGTAAGAAAAGCAAGAAAGATTCGAACGTCAGACTTTCACTGAGAAAAAATCAAAACCTTCTTTTCATTTCCTCCATTATCGTCTGCGTTCGTTGCCATCGTTTTTCTGTTCTGTCGGCAAGGGCAGATAATATGTATCCGCTTGTGGCTATGTCTTGGCAGGATTCGGTTCAACTTTAAGAAATAGAATAAAACAGGGCGGGAGAAAAGCAATGTAAGTGAGTGTCACACAAGGTAAATTAGTTCTCGATGTGTGATTTCGGTTCCTTAATGTAGCTGCAAGGGAAGTTTTTTTTTCCTGAAATATTTCCGACTTGATTCCAGAAGATATAATATCTTTTGTAATTTGAATTTAGTCGGGAATTGTGCAGATTTTATGGCATGATATGTTGTTGCCGTTGTCAGTTTCAATGTTCGAATTTGCAGGATGGACGTCTTTCAGGTCTTTCAAAGATTCAAGGATTCTTGCTTTTGAAATTAGCTCATACCATAGACCTTTCGAAAATTCTGGTGTTTCAGCATTTTACAATACTTACGAATTTCGTATTTCATTAAAAGGTCAATATATATATATATATATATATATATATATATATATATATATATATATATATATATATATATATATTTTATTTTATTTAAAAATATTTTACATCGCGAGATGGAAATTTCTGTTTCGGAACTTTAAATTTGTTCCATTATCAAGCGATATTAGGTCATCTAACTGTTCTTCCTCTTTATTTGTATATATATATATATATATAGATAGATAGATAGATAGATAGATAGATAGATGTGTGTGTATGTGTTTGTGTGTGTGAATTTCCAAAAGAACTGAAATGTAAGATTTAAAATACATTTTTTTAAATTATTCTTGACACTTTTATTTTAGTTTTAATTCCAAACTAATAGATTAAATTAGATTAAATTTAATATTTCTAGTAAGGAAAATAATTTGCTGTGTTTCGAATCGTGTTTAACTTGAGCGGAATCATTTTCTCTAATTATCAGTAAAATCTATAAAATCGTTCACATTGGCAAATCTGTCAATACAACATAATTCTCTTTATTAAACAAATCTTTCAAAAATAAAATATATTTTTCTGAGGGAAAAATTAGCTGATTTAATTTTTATTTAATCTGCATTACAACAAATATTACTCACTTTTAGTTTAAAATCGCAGAAAATGCATTTTTTTAAACACGTAGGTAAGTGTTTTGTGAGTTATTGAAAGATTTATCGACATCCTGATGTTTGGAAAATATAAGTAGGGAGGTAACAAAATTTCATGACGAATACAACGTAAATGTCTCTTTTATAATTTCTTTAACTACCCAGTAATCTTTAAAAATTTAAATATTTTAAGCATTCTAATATTTTACTGAATTTTAGAAAATTTGGCTTTTATAGTCTTAGTTACGAAGATGCTTGTTGAGAAAATGTAAGAAAATTATCGATAAATTTTAGATTTACTATAGTTATCGCCCTTATTTTCCAATGGTATCGTATATGGAAATCCGTATTTACAAAAATCGATACGTTTCTAAACACACAAATTCAAAATTGTTTTTTAAAATACTAGAGGTCGCTGAATTGTAGTAAGCCTTTCTATTTTTGATTTGTACCTACAGCTTTTAATTACTAAAAATATTACTTGACCGCTACAAATTCATACAATATTTAAAAAGATTTAAAAGTTTATAAATTATCCTAATTAATTATTTTTAATGAAAACAATTGTTTTAAAAATGCATTATTCACCGAAAAAAATGTTCGTAAAATAATAGTACCCAGGAAGCAATTAAACGGTTTCTTGAGTAAATAATGTCTTAGTTTTATTGCATTTTTTTATTTTACGATTCAGAGTAGATATTCTGTCACTGGGGGGCGGGTCCTGTTTATCTCACAAAAATCCATGATTTAAATTCTCCGTTACAAAAAATGAAAAATGTTTTTTCGAAATTCCATAAAATTAATTTAGTGGAAATGACAAATGTCAAAAAAGTTATCAAGATTTTCTGAATAAGAAACGTTTCAAAAATAAAAATTATATATATATATATATATATATATATATATATATATATATATATGATTTTTATTTTTGAAATGTTTCTCTATGAATTTAAGCGTGCTACTAAGTTGACATCTCGGTCCCACACTTTTACTGTCGAAACAGTTAAATGTAACCGCCTTTCTACTCTAACAGTTTATTCTCTCGCACTTCCCGACATTGGAACTCCCTTCCCCTTACTTGCTTCCCTGATAACTATAATCTTCAAAAATTTAAACGTAATGTCAATCGACATCTTCCGATGCTTTGATCTTGGTCTCCGTCCTTCTCTTTATCATTTCCTCAAACACCCCTCTTTACTCTTACTTTCACTCTCTGTAACACCTCTCTCTTTACTCTTACTTTCACTCTCTGTAACACCTCTCTCTTTACTCTTACTTTCCTCTCTGTAACCCACCTCTTTCTCTTACTTTCTCTCTGTAACACCTCTCTCTTTACTCTTACTTTCACTCTGTAACCCCTTCCTCTTCTTTCTCTTAACCCCTCTCTCTTCCTCTTCACTCTCTGTAACACCTCTCTCTTTACTCTTACTTTCCTCTCTGTAACCCCCTCTCTCTTACTTTCACTCTCTAACCCCTCTCTCTTTACTCTTACTTTCACTCTCTGTAACCCCTCTCTCTTTACTCTTACTTTCACTCTCTGTAACCCCTTGCGTGCTAGTGGCACTATCTCATCTATTGAGAATTCTAATATTGAAAAAATTTATATTGGATGCATTAAAAATTAATTTAAATTAAGATGGAGCCAGCATTTGACTTCCTTCAATAATATTAGGTATCGCAATCAAATATCCGTATCCAAATATTTTGGCATTTAAAAGAAACAAATAAAACAGCCACAGTGAAATGGAAATTAATAAAAAACAAAATCATGTAAATCTTTTAATGACCCACGTCCTTTGTGCCTATATGAAAAGTTATGTATTATTAAGTCTCTGAAAAATAAAGAATTATTAAATTAAAGAAATGAAATAACAGTTTTTTGTAGACATTGTATTATATTTTCTTTAAAAAATAATTAATTATAAAAAAATTTGCATAATTATATATCTATTATTTGATCAAAAATAAGAAAGTTTGAAAATGCGTAATTAAATCCTAATATTTTAATTTTACAATACCGTATATAGTTATTAGTAAATATAATAAATATAGTATTTTAGATCTTTATAAATAAAAATATATAAAAAATATGACAATCATTTTTGAAAGTTCCCTTAAGATGATCCCAATGTATTTTATAAAATAAGAAAATAAATTAAAAAATAAATAAAAATGCCAATTGTTATAGTGTATCTTTAAAAACCAGACTGTGATGACATGTTCTCATATAAGGAAGCCAGTATCAACAGACAGAAATTTCAAACCGAAATCTAGCCTTAACCGATATTTACTTTGCCACCTTAATACTTATATACTGATTCGTCAAAAAAAACAACACCCCTTAAAAAGGTTTTGAATTCTCATTCCCCCACCAACTCAAACAATATAATACTATTTAGCTTAAAAGAGTAAAACATTTTTTCGAAAGTTATTTAGCATCGCTTGAAAATGAAACTAAACTTTAAATTTTAAGTTTAATTTATGATTTAGATTTGGTTTCGAAACATGTAATTTCTGTGTAGCGATCAAAACATTTTTAAATAATAATATTATAATGTGTATCGAGCACTGGTTTTAAAATAAATGCTAAAGAACTCTGGATTATAAATCAGAATGTTCTTTCTTTTTAGTTTGATATATATATATATATATATATATATATATATATATATATATATATATATGTGTGTGTGTGTGTGTGGCATGTATAATAGTATCCGAAACAAAAGTGAAGATGATGAGAAAAAGTATAAAATTATATTAACGACGCGTTTCACCAGAGAAGCGTCTGCTGTCATTGGCTTCCTCAGGTTAGAATGAAAGACAGACAAAACTGTATGTGAGGGAAATGCCTTAGGATCTCTGAGGATAAGTATTAATTATTAATCAAATTAAATTAGATTACCTTATCAGTTCCAATGTCTAGACTCAAGAGAATGCCTGTCTGCCCGTTTGTTTTATCTGAGGCCTTTAGTTTGGATGAGAATAATAGTTCGAATATAAATATTGTAAATAAATGAAGATTTTAGCGATTGTGTGTTTTTATTACGGGGTCGGGCCGTGTGTAGTTGAACTCAGTGGAAACAGGTGAACAATAACTGAACAGTGCTAAGAATAAGAACCAGACGGAATATCCCTAGACATATACAGTTGAACGAGAACAGTGGTACTATTGTAGATTAAATAATACGTTCATTTCCGAGATTCCAGATCGATATACACCTGAGGAAGGCCGGAGCACACAACGGCCGAAATGATGTGATAAAAACAAAAAAAAGTGAGGACAAAAGTCCGAATATAAACAATGTAAATAATGGTAACCCCTAATTGCAGAAATTCAGACAAAAGTCAAAGCCTGGAAGTAATTTGGGATGAGAAATCGAAATTCACGCCAACTTTCTCTAGAGAATTATAAATCCTGTCAAAACGGATGCATGTACTAATATCATTATTATAAAACTTGTTTGAAAGACTGGTGACATAATCTTTGACGAAAAGTTAATGACGTTAATGACGAAAGTTAATGACGATAATTCGTCAAAAAAATCTACATTTTTCAAATGGATAACATTTTTCAAATAGATTCAAATGGATCGATAGAGAAAAACCCTCAGCAGAAGAAATAATTGCTGGTACCTTAGGCATTTCAGATGGTTCAGCCGATACAATTTTATTAAAAAAATTAATTGTTGCGCTTAGAACAACAACAGACAAAAGCAGATCTTTCAATGGGAAATTAAAACAAATAGGATGAAAATCCTAACGTCTTTCCGAAGCGAATTGTAACTGGAGATGAAACTTGACTTTACGATCCTGGGAACAACGTTCAGTTAAAGCAATAGTTCCTCAAAAATGAAATGTGCCCAATCAAAGCAAAAGCAAATCGCTCTGACGGAGAGGTTATAAAGAAAGTTTTCTGGGATACTGAGGACATTTTACTAGTTTCCTTTATAGAAGGAAAAAGATACTAACATTTGCTTATTACAAAAGTGTTTTGATAAAAGTAACTAAAGATTTAACAAAATAAAATGCCGTGGAAATCTTCATCGGAAAATTCTTTTCCCCTGCGGCAATACGCGTTCACGACAATACGCCCGTTCCTCTAATTCAACAATTACAAGAATTTTGACGCGAAATCATTCGACACCCAGCTTACAGTCCTGATTTGGCACTTTTGATTTTTATTTTCTTATTAACTAAGCTTTAAAAAGTTTATAAAAAAGTTGTTCATTTTAAAACCATTAATGTTGTATGAATATTGTCAAATTCTCAGGACTCTCAATTCTTCCAAGATTATATAAATGTTTGGAATTACACTTACAAAAGTTGATGGAACTTATGTGAATAGAGATTATATTTGAAATTTTTGCTTTTCATTCCATTTTCCCACGAACTTTGTGAATTCTCCTAGCATATTGAAAATAATTCTCGGCTTTAAAATAAATACGTATTTATCGAAAGCTCCCTGTCGTCAATATGCGTGGAAAGTTTAAATGTTTAAAGCCAAAATTACTAGCTGAGAAACGAATGAAGCTTTTGTGATTTATTGGTTACAGGAAGAAAAATAGATTGTAACGATCGAACATAAAACAAAGGGGCTTTATTTTTGAAGACAAAATTCTGTTGGCAATGCATTGAATATATAGGTCTGGAACTATCGTATATTTTGAAAATCTAATGAATATTTTAAATTACAACATAACATGTCATATATCTTTCTCAAGCCTAATCATATCGGAATAAAACATCTAACAAGAAAGAAAATCAACTAAGACTAAATAACTGGGAATTGGTGGAATGAACGCACCTCTCTCTCTCTCTCTCTCTCTCTCTCTCTCTCTCTCTCTCTCTCTCTCTCTACCGTATTCCTTCAAGGGGTAGATGATCATGGCTCTCCACAGCTTGTTGTTTTTGTTCCTCTCATCAATATTTGCTCCTTTCCTCGTCATTCCATTAAAAATGTTTCGTTATTAATATCTCTCATCATCTGATATTTTCCCGAATTTAGTAGGTCTTCCTTCATGGAAATAACAAACTTTTGTATTTAGCTTAAGAATTCAGTTCTTTAAATGAATTTTTATGCATTTCCAATTTGAATTTTTGTGATCTTTATAAATAAGCAATTTTTCTTATTGTTTTTTTTTTTTTTTTTTTCGACTTAAATTGCTTGTTTAATCAAATAAAGCTATATTCTGCTTTGAAAGTGGTAACCACCTTATAATTTAGAATACGCCTTTGAAGTAAAGGGAGGTAAGCAGCGTATAAAGGGAAGTAACTAATGTTGACATCATTTCGTATATTTTGAAAATCTAATGAATATTTTAAATTACAACATAACATGTCATATATGAAATAAAAAAAAATGCTAAAATGTTTAAACCAGTCAAACACCTTCAGGTTTTATGACATATGAAAAACATTAAAAGAAATAAGTTTGAACAATGCTGACTATCATTACAAGTGGCATCTGTTGAAATAGTTAAATGCAACCGCCACTCCAACAGTTTCTTTTCTCGCACTTCCCAACAGTGGAACTCCCTTCCGTTTCCTTGATAACTACTATCTTCAAAAAATTTAAATGCAACGTCAATCGCCATCTTCCATCTTCTTGGACACGGTTCAGCTTTTATCTTTTTCTCAATTTCCTCTATACCCAGTCTTTTCTCTCACCTTCACACTCTATAAGATCCCTGTGTACTAATGGCATTCCCGTCTTGCTTTGGGTAAGAGGATTAAAAAATGTTTCATTAAGAATGACTGTCAATATACCTCTGTAAACATTTTTATCGTATCTTTCTTGCCTGCAATCAAGAGATTTTTTTCTCTTTTAATTTAGTATATGCAGAAATTATCCAAATTACTGATCGTTCCGATCTTTTTCAATCAATTTATTAGCCTTTGTCATGGATTTGCGTCGTGTATTTGTGAACTGTATGGACGTACTACTGTAAACGGTATGTAAGTTGCTGGAAGGTAGACATATTTTTAATTGCCGAACACTGCCAATGCATTTTAGCCGTTCATGTTTTAATGGTGTTTTTTGTTTTTTCTATTATTATTTTAGACGCTTTTTGCGGGTAGTGATGCGTATTAGTTTTATGTTCTCGAAATGTTACGTATCGAGGTTGGTACATTTTCATGTTGATTTAAATGGGCCTTCATGGCTTTCTGGCCTGACAGACTAAAGGTTAGCCATCTTGATAAGCGAATACTGTTATGTCCGACATAGTTATTTATGTTTTTTGTCGGGAATTCAGTTCTCGATGGGTCACACTTGAATACATAAATAAGTTTTGGTCCTATATAGCTTTGATATCGCAGGGGAGTTATTGTTGCTGATGAGAAGGTTGGCTGTTGTGAATTTTTTGTAATAAATAATTAACTAGAGCAATGGATTCTTATAATATTCTTTAGGGCGAATTCGTTTTGTTTGCAATTTATGTGCAATTAGTGTTAACATTATTAGTTCTGTACATTGTGTTATTGTTGCGACAATTTGAAAGGGAAAAAAATGATTGTAGTGCCCGTAATGAAGTTGGGGAAACCGTTGTTGATTAGTGTTTGTTTTATCTTACTGAGTTCTTTAAGGAAAGCGATTGTGAAGATATCACATACGCTCTCGTTAGGAAGTTTTTTTGGAGTTTTTTTTATATACCGCTAAGTGGACATTCGCTATCAGAATTAAGATGATAAGAGTTTTTTTGTTTTTTTTAACTTGTGAAGTAGTAAATTAATTGTTATTTAATTCGACGAGAACTTCTAGGAATTGAATTTTGCTGTTCTTAAGTTCGTAAATAATATTACAAAGAAGATTTTTTCGGGTGTAGTTTTAAAATATTCGATTTCTTTTTTATCGCTGACTAAAATTAAAATCTCGTCGACATACGGAGAGTAAATTTTACGTTTTACGTGCTTTTGAAAAACTATTTCCAACGTCAGACATATAGTAATTAAAGAAGGTTGGTCCAAGGGGACAACTGATACTAACTCCGTTTATTTTTATATAGATGTTACTATTGTGGGTATAAAAAGGCGTGTAACAGCTTTTAAGAAAATTAGGTATGATAGGTAGGTGCGGAATTGAACTTAAAAAAAAATATATTGTCAGTCATTTTAATTAATATATATATATATATATATATATATATATATATATATATATATATATATATATATTCTTGATACTCCCTGAAGATTGGACGGAGAGCCATATATAGGAACATATAAATATGCAAATAAATAAATACATAAGGCAAATAAATGAATGATTAAATAAAAATAATAAATGCAAATAGATAAGTAAATAAAAACGTTTCTAATAGTAAGACTAAAGGTAAGACTGAAGGTAAGACTGAAGGTAAGACTAAAGGTAAAAGAAAGAGACAAAAATCAAAAACAAAACAAAAATAAACATAATAATTATATACTAAAAATGGTAATGATAAGATAATGGAAAAAATAGATTAACAAAAATGCTAAATGTGTTACGGTTTAATATTAAGAGTTGTGTAGTAATATCAGACAGATGATGATAGATACTAATAACGAAACATTTTTAATGGAATGACGAAGAAAGGAGCAAGAAGTAAAAATAAAAATATTAATATCAATACTAGTATATGTGATCCCTTGGTCCGGTTTGACGATATTAATCTGGGTCAAAGAGTAGAAATTTGATCCTAGGTAGGCAGGTGCTCATTAACTCACTTCTTTTGTTTAAGAGATTAGGATTTTTTATATTTTTCAAGATTATTAATTTTTCCGAAAGATATAAGTTACATTTACTGCCTTTCCTGCGGAAGGGCTTAGCTTTCGCTGCTATTTCCCAGGTGATAATAGAGTTCTTATTCTCACTTTTTAGTTTCCAGAAAAATTTAGAGAGGGCAATGCTGTTTCGGTATTTGATATTGCCAAAAGTCATTCGGCGATGGTAAAAGCGCGATTTCCAATTGTTTACCGTCGAGCCCACGTAAAACTTGACCTCGTCATCATGTTTGATTTCAGCTTTATAAACTAACGATTTGGACACATATTTACCGTTTAATGGACAGGGTTTGTGTTTTCTGCAGTTGCAATTATTTGCGGGGATGTTGTTGTTTTGAAGATTGTTGAAGTGCTTGTTTAGAATGGAACTGTTGTGCTGAGCTATAAACTGGTCGATGTATTTACCACAACTGTAGCTAACTTTGATGTTATTTTTGCTGAAGATCTTATTAAGTATTGGAAAATGACTAAAGTGCTTGGGGATTAAATTTAAAAAAAAATCCGTTGTTAGTTTTGACGTTTTTGTTGAAGGGCGGGTTACACCATATAATATTGTGTTTACGATGTTTTGGTTAGTTGGCGTCATTATTGATATTTGCTAAGAATTCGAGGTTAATTTTATGGTTACCATGTTCTAGGGCTTCTACGTTTTTACCTTTATGTTTGTCAAAAATGTCTTTATTGATAGAGTTGGTAGATAGTCTAAATTGGACTGACTTATGTAAATTATTCAGTATTCTAGGATGGTGGTTGGATATTTGTTGCTGTATCTATGAATATAAATCTTTGGTATATGGTTTGTGAAGCCCATTAAATAAGTCAAATGTTACATCCAGGAAATTGATTATTTTAGCATTAGTGGCGGTAGTAAGGCTCAGACTTTGGTTTTTGAAGAACTTAATTAGGTCATTTCTTAGACGGTCAGCTTTTTGTGCGCTTCATTTACGAAGGAGTAGAATCCCGTCGTCCCTATATAGGCCTGTATTTTTAGTATGAAAAATAGACCTGAGCCGCCAAAGTAATAATGCTAACTAGCTCGCTAACTTCTGCTGAATCAAACTCACCCATGGCAATACTAAAGTCAGGATTGTTACGGTTGGTCCACAGGGAACCTTCATGGAACAGAATGGGTTTTTGAGACTGTTTAATGATGTTAATGTCTTGTTTGCTTATGGGGCAGTAGATATTGGCCAGGTTTATCACATCCGTTAGCAACTTCTCTGTGATAGATGAGTAGAAATTACAAATAATGAATTGGAGAAAAGAGAATTTACTTTTCTTATTAATTTTATTGCACTAATCAATGGTGTCAGCAATATTATGCCACTGGCTGACTCCTAAAGCATTTCTAGTGTAATTACAGGCTCTTTCGAGGATTTTCTTGCTTATCCTACCGATAATATTTTTGGGTGGGTTGATTAGTCGGTATTGGGGGTTCTGTGGTAAGCTATCCTTGTGGTCTTTTACCGTGACGAAAGCCTATTGTTTGTGCAATTTGTAGACCCTATCGTCGATCATTAGTTCTTCAGTTGTCTTTTTGTCCGTGCTATTTTGTGTAGAAGGGTCAGTTCGTAATTTTTTTTTTTTTTTTTTTTGCCGGGGATCAGAATGTTCTTAGTAGAGTAGTTCAGATGAAAAGGCTTCAAAGGATCCCAGTAACAATTAGTGTATATTGCTTTGTGGTTTAATTACACCAATAAAAGAGCTTATCTGAAATCAGCAAAATATAACCGAATGGGTAAATATAGATAGGTATACGAACGAGGGATCATATACAAATACATATAAATACTCTATATTGTAAGAAAAAATTGGACTCAATGTTAAATAACAGAGCTATTTAATAATGATAAGTTATTTAATAATAACTTATTTAATAATAAGTTAGTTTATTCAGTAATATTATTAATTATTCTATCGATTTTCGAAAAAAAATAGAGTTACCTTCCCTTGATTTTCAAACGTACCTTCTTGTTTGCTTACTTTTTAACATCAGCGACTTTCTAAATTAGAATTTATATATTCTTATTTCTAACCTTATTTTCAATCTTAATATGTTAGAGTAGGCCAAAATTCAAATTCAAATTTAGAGTACAATTCCTTTAAATATTTTAACAACAATAATATTCCAATTAATAATAAAGTTCTCGCTTGTGAGAACTAGAAATTAAAAAAAAAAACCTGAGTCTACCCAAAATAAAAAATAAAATTCAGTACCTGACAATTGCTTGGCATAAAACTCGGAGTTGGGTAATTAATATATAATATATATATATATATATATATATATATATATATATATATATATATATATATTGATGCACACAAAATGCAATCGTTACTCAACGGAGTTTGAACTCTGACTCAAGTCGTTTCTAAGGAAAGGCATGTGCCGTTATACTGATTGCAATCTTCCTAAGAACTAAAATCCCAGACATATTTTATCATTTGGCGCTGCTTGACTAAAAATGATTTCTTAAATATTGAACTTGATATATAGAAGAGGCTTCTAGTTTTAGAACCCCAAATTAAATGACGGATAGTCGTAGTCTTCGCAGAGATTACGATAACTAAGTATTGTAGATAATCTATGCAAGCATCTTTCAATATCTTCTTTTTTCTGCTCTTCTTCGTCTTCAACACAACATGGGATAACCGTGCCTCCCTAATCGACCGCCGCCGCCATCACCCTCCTATTCCTCATTTTCCGCCTGATATTCTCTGTCCGCTTCTTTCTTTTTTTTTTTTTCTCCCTCCAATCGATATTTACCTCACGTGACAATAAGGATACTACGTCACGCAATTCATGCAACATGGCGCTGAGAAGACTCGTCATACATAGTTCTCCCTCCCTCTGCCCTCTCTATCTCTCTCTACCTACCTACCTACCTACCTACTCACAGTATAACTTTCATAACAACATTGCATTTTCTATTCTCTCTTTTCTTCTCGTAAGCGTTTCTATTTCCTTTTCTCTAGTTCGTGTCCTGCTATTATTGATTAACAAATGATCAATATAACACATTTACCGCACAAACTTGCAAAAAAATGCCCACTACTTCTCTTCCCTAGAGATAACATTCTCTTTCTCTCTCATTCTGTCTCTCTCTATATATATCTCTCTGTCCAATTCTCTCACTCTCCTTATCTGTTCAATTCTCTCTTTGTCCACTCTCTCTTTCTCTCTTTCTCTCTCTCTCTCTCTCTCTCTCTATGTCCAATTCTCTCTTTCTCTGTGTCCAACTCTCTCTCTCTCTGTTCAATTCTCTCTCTCTCTCTATATATATATATATATGTGTGTGTGTGTGTGTGTGTGTGAGAGAGAGATGGGTTATATATATATATATATATATATATATATATATATATATATATATATATATGGCCAGCAACCTTTTTTTTTAAACATGTTTCGTTAAATGTGACAGACAATGATAATTTTTTTTTTATTTTAGTTTTCTCAACATTTTCACATTTTTCCGTTTGGTGGAAGGTTAGGAATGTAAAAATTGTCCGTAGGGTCCATTGTTCCAAGCGCTTTTGACCACTTTTTTAGCCATTTTCAAGGGGGTTGTTTTTTGGTATTGTTAATTGATATTTTTTAATCATTTTGTGACTAGAAAGCAAACATTTGTACAAACACAAGAAAAATTAAATAAAAAGCTTAATCGTAGTACCTTATCAGTTGGCTTTAATGAAACATGTATAAAAGAGGGATTTTTCCCCAAATATGCAATATATATATATATATATATATATAATCTGTTTCTACTTATACGTCTATATCGTTAGATTTATGGACTGAGTAGTCAATGTCATGGACAGAGCGTTTGTAGATATAAATGTGGACACAGACATCGACACTGAATGATAACTGGCAGTTTTACGCTTTAAACAAACATCCGGCAACACACATAAAGATGCAACTGGTAATAGACAGTCTATATTCCCAGACATACATATATATATATATATATATATATATATATATATAATTGTCATTTGAGGATGAATATACATATAAATATGCATACGTGCATATACACATACATATACTTGTGTGTGTATATATATATATATATATATTATGAAATGGACAAAGTCCGACAATTATTTTAAGATATATATATATATATATATATATATATATATATATATATATATATATATATATATGCTCATAACTGTATTTCCCTGATACTTTAAATTTTTACCAAATCCATTTAGTTCCCACCACCACTCTTTAGTCTCTCTCTCTCTCTCTCTCTCTCTCTCTCTCTCTCTCTCTCTCTCTCTCTCTCTCCTTCCCCGATTGACTTAATCCGGTGTCACCGTAACCAGTGGTGTCACCTTCGCTGCTATCGTCGTCGTCGTCTTTCCCGTCGTGTCTGTTTTCATTCCTATGGCCGCAAGCCTCCGTAATGTCTTGTGGCGAGAGAAAACGGAACGCACTAATGGCGCCATTGCGTGAGAGAGATAATGGTCCTGACAGATGCAAAAGTTGATGGCACAAGAAGAAGAAGAAGAAGAAGAAGAAGAAGAATGTGAAAAGAAAAGAAAAATGAGAAGAAAAAGAAAAAGAGAAGACAAAAGTATAAAGGCAAGAATAAAGAAAAACAAAAGAGGAAGGACAAAGAAAGAAGAAAAATCTTTGTTAAAAAAAGAAAAATGAGAATGAATACTGATAGAAATAAAAAGAAGAAGAAAAAATAAGAAAAATTTTAAATATGAAAAATAAATGTTCTGATTTTTTTTCCATTGATCTTTCTAAATGATGTCGAAAAGTTTTGTAGAATTGCTTAACTCATCATCTATCAGTTCTACTTGAACTTGACAAAGTCAATCAGCGAACGAAGTTTCTATTTATTTTCGTTCATTTATTCACAGTAGAATGTCTTTTTCTACTTTTTTTTTTAGAATCTGACAACGAATTCCACCAAAATATTTCTTTCCATGCAGTTTCTGTCTGTGATCTTTATCCATCTTATTTATTGCTCTGATCAATAAATGTTCAGCATTGAAGAAATGGGATAAAATACCAGTGAACAACAGAATTTTAAAAACATTCTTATTCTCTTTTGTCTTTTGATGGAATGCAAAAGTTTGAAAGCCAAAACAAATTCTTTCACTCCATTTTCACGCCACAGACGAACATGTAACAAATAAGTATATTAACAGAAAAAACTGAAGTGATTATAGAAAATCATACAATTAATGGGTACTAAGGGAAGTATACGAAATACATCTACAATATAATGTAATAAATGTCTACATGAGATAATGTAATAAATGCGTACCCAAGGCAATATAGCAAATACATATCCAACAATAGAATGCATACGCTAGACAATATAATAAGCACAGAAGGCAATGTAATAAATGCATATGGACTATATACAAGCATTGCTTGAAGTACATTAGTCAACAAAGTGACGGTTTTTAAAAACCCGTGAATTGTTCTTATTAGAAAATGTTTTTACAAACTGACATTCGAGTATGAGTGGGAAGGAGAGTAAATGTGTATGAATTGAGTTTGCGTGCCTGTGTGAGTATTTACTTGTACATATATATATATGTGTGAGGGAAGCTGTACACTCACTTGTTTTTTATTGCTAATAAATCGAGACCTTAACTCAAGAACAAAGAAGGAAAAGTTATTTTTTTTCAAACTGAAATGGCAAGACATTCATTTTAGCATTAATAAAAAAAACTATTTGTGTACAATCGACTATTTTTGCCACACCTCCAACCCCAACTTTCTTCCTTACACATTTTACAAAACACGCTTTTTCTTTTAATTTGTTTGAATTTTTCAGGTTTTATTTATTTCTTTCTTTATTTGTATTTCATGTAAAGTTATTTCAGATACTATAATCTTGCGACAAAAAGACATTTTACTTTTAAGAGCGTTATTTATCTTTCCTTCTTTTCTTAGTTTTCCTATACCCCTTCCGCTCCCACTAGAATTTACTTCAAAAATAAATTCCTACCTTCAAGTACTTATCAAAAGTGAAATGCGAATGTCATCCAAATGGTGATTCCTCAAGAAAATAATCACCAAATAACAAAATTCCTCAAACCATTCTCTCTTATTTTCTTAAGACGATTATAAAAAATCAAATTTGGTAAAAGGCCACTTGTTGTAGAGCATTTCAAAGCATATTCGTCTGACAATTTTGTGAGTTTGAACATTACTAGGTGTCGTACGGCTTATATAAATATCTAACAAGTGTTGCAGTAACTGAGCCGCTACCAGAAACATTGCATTTTGACCAAATTTGTAGGCGCACCAAAACAAGTCCTACTTTTTTTTATAGACTATTGTCGTCTTTGTTTTATACTCTACTTCGTCTCTCCACACTTACATCTTTCTCTCTTACTCTTATTCTTACCTCCTCTCATTATTTCATTCTCTCTTTCTCTAAATCTTATCTCCACTCATTGTTTTATCCTCTCTTTCTCTTATTCTTACCTTCTCTCATTGTTTCATGCTTTCTTTCTTTTACTCCTAACTTCTCTCGTTGTTTCATTTCGTCTTTCTCTTCCTCTTACCTCCACTCATTGTTTCATCCTCACTTTCTCTTACTCTTACCGTCTCTCCCTGTTTCATTCAATGTGAAATGAAACAAAGAACTATAACAAGGAAATTCCCAACAATGTTGGAAAGAGTTATAACATTTAGTGGACTTGTGATAATCTATTTTCCTGACAAACACTTTTAAGAGAAAATATTATAAATGTTATCCGACAGTAACTCTTGCTGTTCGATCAATAATTGTCGAATGTTTCCTTAGAAGGAAACGGCCAATATTATCAATAATATTAACAACCTCGGCATTCATTTTGACTTTCGGTGATATTTGACAAAAGATTTTATTTTCAATATTTTCATAGATTTGTTTTCTTTATGAATCAATTTAGAGGCGTGCATCGTTTTTCATGTCTACGAGTTATTTTCTAAGCTTAGCTTTGTCTGGCACAAAGAAAGAAATAGGGAGCACCTAGTGAACGCCAAATAGCTTTACCAGAGGAGACGACAAGGTTGCTAACACCAGCATCAAGTTGAAATGAAGTCTCATGTCTGGACAAATTCATTCTTCCTCATTCTTGCTTTGCCGATAAAATCAAAAGACTTCTATTTAAAATGGGAAAATAATTTTGTAAGAAAGTTTTTAATTTAATATGATTTGAAAGTCGTATAAATGTATTTTTAATATGCGTCATTCACATTCAAAAGAAAAAAGATATTGACGTAGGCATAGAAAACTTCAAAATTCTCTTTTAAACACAAACATTAATATGAATATAAGATTTGCTTTAATTAAATAACGTAGGAACATCCAGAATCGTAGATAGATTTTATGATCTTTTTTGATATTAATAATAATCATAATAAATGAAGCCAACAAATTCGAAAGGGAATTTTAAGTGGGATAAAAAGTAAATAAACCCTAATCCACCTACTGCAGTGACAAAGAACCTTAATAAGAAAGCAAAAGAAAATGCAACCGACCAGATACAGAAACGATGTCAAAAGAAACCTCTTCATGGTCAAAACTCTACCCGTACCACATAAGCTAATGTAGACAAACCCCTTACCCAGCAGTGGCTACGTAGTTCATGGTTAAAAGCTGAAACCAAAGGTTTTATTATTACTGCACAAGACCAATGCGTGCTAATTGGAAATTACCAAGCTCACATACTGAAAAATTGTGTTAGCCCAAAATGCAGATTCTATGATAAGTATTCAAAAACAATTGATCATCTTGTATCAGGTTGCACGGTACTGGCATTCTCTGAATATAAATCCAGCCATGAGAGAGTGGGCCAATATCTTCACTGAAAAATCTGCAATTTTTATAGAAAGAAAACTGCAAGCAATTGGTATGAACACTACCCAAACCCGGTTACGGAGATAGGAACTGTAACAATTTTATGGGATTTTACAATACACACAGGCAGAACAATCAAAGTTAATCCCCCAGACATTGTGATTAAAGACCTCAAAAATAGAATGGGCTTTATTATTGACATGGCAGTCCCTGAAGATTGTAATGTATCTTTGAAGATCTTCATAAAACTATCAAAATACAAGGATCTTGAAATGGAAATCTAAAGAAAATGTGGCGCATGAGGAAATTAACAATTGCAGTTGTAGTTGGAGCCCTCGGATTGATTGAAAAAGATTCCACTAAACTCATGTTATCCCTGGTAGCTCATGCCTTAAAGAAATACAAAAAATCCACTCACAAGTACAACCTACATCTTACGAAGAGCTTTGTCTATGTAAAATATGTGCGATTTTTTTCAAAACTGCTCAGTGGAAAATGTCATGATACCATTTCTGACCTTATGTCTCTGGAAGGAACCCGGAAAGAAATGAGTAGACACCAGAAACCAAAGGAAATAAAATAATAATAATAATAATAATAATAATATAAGCATTCATTACCAAGAATGGGTAAATGAAGCTCGTGTGGAATACGACCATCATGAATGACAAGCGCTTAGAAAGCAATCGCCCTGACATCACTTTTGTGCACAGAAGCTATGAATGGATCCTGATAGACCTTATAGTACCGCGGGATAAGAACATCGTAATGGCGAAATTGCAAAGCTACCTCGCAGAGCAAATCAGAGAAATGTGGCAAGAAGTCTATTTCCAGGAATCTTTGCTTCGCGGGACGCCTTGGGGATATACCGCATTATTCGGTGTGCACAGGTGGCACCACTGCTTGGTACAGCTCATGCTCTGAGGTAAGCGCTGAAACTCTATAACCATCATCTAAGAGTCGGAGAGGATATCTGTAACAGAGAGAGGTTGACGCACATGAATGCACACACGCAAATATAAAGTTTATTGATTGAAGATAGAAAACATGATGTTCCGTGAAAGTTACAAACTGTGTCAACGCTATTAATAGGAAAGAATCTAGAACAATGATATATGAAACCTGAGACGGCTGATGGATAAAGAATAAATTTCAAATCGGGTTGGCGAGGACTTGTTTATAAACAAATGCAAAAGGGCAGAAGGCGATGTTTAATTTGGGTCATTAAAAAAAAATAGACGAAAATAATATTTTTGATAAAAACATATTGAAGTAAATTGGACCGGGCAGATAAGATCAGTGTATGTTTACCGCTAGCGAAATCTGATCTAAACATAAGTTGTATCCGCTGAATTTAGTCATCGAAAAGACAATTGAAATGAACATTGAACTAATTAATTCTATCCACTAAGAGATTTGAAATAGATCTGAATTTAAACTTTGCTTATGGCGACACTCGTGTTAAACGCGTGAACAACCTGGCTTATAACCTTCGGTTTGCTATATAAACGCGAGTTTTGCTGAGTTGGAGAGACTTGGGCGTTAGACGAGAGTGACGTTGAAAGAGAGAGAGACTGTCGTTGCAGTGAGTCGGTCCAGTGGCAAGTCAGAGATAAGGACTTCAAGAAATATCATCGTCGTTGTAGCAGTCGCATTGAAAAGTCGCTGAAACTTAACGTTTGTCACTTACGACAACCAACTGAAAAGCTACACTTCCACTTAGGGCTGGAATTATGAGTCACATATCCTCCCAAGTTGATTTGGAACGAGTTAATCACACACACCCCCACACCTGTCTCTGTTGGTATAATTGGTAGAGGAGTGGTCCTCTGTTCTTATGTTAATTGCTTTTCTATCCTTTCTGTAAACTCTTTCTACTGTTGTTGTTTTCTTATATAAAAGACATCAACCATTGTTGTTCGGCTTCTGCAGATATTATTTCCTTGTTTGTCACATTCTAATTTTCCTGCCGCCCACCCTCACAGCCGTGCCTACATCATCCACAATCGACCGTGAACGTATTGACAACACCCCGCTTACTGGATCTAAAAATTAACACAATGTGGGCAGCAGGCGGAACTTGGCCAGTGACCGGTCGAACAATCTACGGGTACTCAGGGAGCGTGCGGCCAGCTACCCCTGAGTTCGGTTCAGACTGAGTGGGTGCCTCAACCCAAAGAGGAAGACGCCGGAGGTTGAGGGGCTGAAGGGAAGAGTGGTAGATATCAAATAATAATAATAACAATAACAACACTCGATGTTCTCAAGACATCCCAAAAGTTATGATTGAAATCTTACGCCGAGACATTAAATGATATCTCGATATTCTAAAATGATGATGAACCCTAGGTGAGGTCAGCTAATGAGTATAGTCAAGAATCTAATATAAAAAGTTTAACACATATTTATGGTGTTCTGAAGTGCCTACAGGATCAAAATTTAGGCTTAGAGGTAATCCCATAATTAATGTCCGAAATCTGCTAACGATAGTTAGAATTATGTTTTTGTTGTTCAAAAATGCATAAAAGATACAAAAATATTCTAAAATGTCATCTCGTTATTAAAAATGGCAACATAATAATATATTTTCTGTTCTAAAATAATGCATTGTTATCAATAACATATACTAAATAGATTTGAGATTCTAAAACGATTAAATAAGACTGTATGCATTCAAACATCCCATGAATCATGTCGGAAATCTGACAGCAATAGATTGAATAATATTTTATCTATGTTGTAATTGTACTTGAAGTATAATGATACAGAAGTAATGACATCCAATAGTGTACAAAATCTTTTAGCGAAACATGTTGCTATTCCAAAATATATAAAATGATTTTTGTTATCAAGACGACATATAATTACACTCCGGTGTATGATAGCGAGAGATTAAAAGGTATTTGTTATTCTAAAAAGCTTAAATGATAACAATACATACAAACAAGATATTCCTTAATTAATATCCTCCATCGAATGGTCATAGATTAAACAATTTTCTTTTGTAAAATGCCTAAATGCTAAAAAATACATGTAATCGATGCAACGCTTAAATAATTTCCAAACACTTATAATGATCGATAAAAATGACATTTTTGCTTTTCTGAAATGCTTACTTGATAATAATAGATTCTATGAAATCAATTAATGTCTTAAGTTTGATGATTCCAGATTAAACATTTTCCTGTATTCGAATACCTAACTGATAACAATATATCCGATCAGGCCATCCTATAAATAATGCTCGAAATCTGATGGAAATATTTTAGCTATTCCAAAACGCCGAAAGGATATTACGACAAGCTATTGTTGCGTTTTTCATCATTTTCACAACAAAAGTCGGTACACTTTCCACAAAAGCTGGTACTTTTCTTGCAAGATCTCAGAAAGTGCAAAGAATTGAATTTTACAAAAGGTTACTTTTTTGATTACGCGATATGTTTGCTAAAAGTCAATACTATACATGTAGTAACTTCCGAGTTATAATTAATATAATAATTAATATAATATAATTTTTTGGAGAAACACAACTGGCTGACGTAAAAGTAAGATTTTTTTTCATTTGCTTACTACTACGTTCGTGCGTTCCTTATAAAAAGCAGTATAACCTTTTGTCAAATTCAATTCCTTGTTATACGACTGGTTGTCTTTTCATGTCTCTTGCACTCTCTTGAGTTTGAATGATTTCATCAAAAGTTATATTTAGAAATGTATGCAACCACTTCAACTTATGTTACAGAAATTTAAACTAACTTCGCCAACATAAATGTTGACCATTTATCGCTTCTTCTTTGCCGACTTATTTTCCTGCATTAAACTCTTCTTATCTCTTCTTGAAGAGGGGGGCGGCTGAGGACGACTGTCTTAATGTCTTTTGAACGGCTTGAGATTTGACCAGTTTAGTCCAAACTTCCTCATCTGTTTCACTGCCAAGTTACTCATAAGTAATGTCCGAAATCTTTGTCAGTTCGAATTGTAATACGATTTTAAAAGCTTATGAGAGAAAATTATTTTCATAAATTATTAGGTGCTGGCCATAAATCTGGTCAAGTGTCCTAATTCGTTAGTGTACGATCCTCATTAGGTGCTCCATTACGATGGTCTTGTACCATACTGTTAAATCAGTCGATACAGTCATTTTAAAATATCCTTTCACTTGCTCTCTTTCTTTCTCACTCACTCCTCTCCCTTTCTCTCTATCTCTTTCTCTCTCGCTCGTATTTATCTATACTTCCACGCTTGTCCATACTCTTTCTTCCCCACTTCGCCTGCTGGCCACGTCGATGACCCTTAATTTCAAATTCCATCTTTCCCTACCCTAACCAATCAACTTACCTTGTCGTTCTCTTTGGTTTATTTTACATATCGCCCGCGCATTCACCAACTGAAAACGCTGTTCATTCCCAAGGAATGGGCGTAGAAACACGGCACCAATTCTTAGCGGTTCCAGAAAAGAAAATCCGAAATCTCCTATTACATTGAATAAAAGCAAATATAATCATTTAAAAAAGATTTTTCGGCTGATTAATCCAATGAAGAATTGGTGCAAAAAAAAAATATAAAAATATACATCGACATTCTTGATTTTGGTTAATCCAATTACAAATCTATCAGCTCCCAGAAAAAAAAAATAAGTTAATAAATCTTCTCTATTTTCAACTATTAAAAGGTAAATTTCTTTATATATATTTCTTTTCTTCTACTTTGTCATCTGAAAAGCGTTGGGCAGACGGTGTGAACTAGATTTGTCTTTTTGCCCAATTACTTGGCTGTCATTAGTTGGTTAGATATCAAGCTTCACCGTGCAGCTTTGGGGATTGTTTCTGATTGTTTCGTGATGTGCCAAGAGAGCAGGTTTTCTACAATGACTAAAATAATCACTGGCAAATCTAATGCACTTTCAACCACTTGGCAACATTCTATGACATTCTTCCTTATTCTCCGATTACAATAAAACACAATCTCTTCCTTTTGGCAACTCCATCTTCTTTTGATTACACACTAAGACAGAACATTAAGTATAACAAAGTAATAAATATGCTTTCTATTGCAGACAAACTGTGATGTGATATTAAACACTGACAATCTTTATATATTTTACATTGGACAGAGGAATAATTCCATACAATGCAATTTTTGAATCTCTTATAAACAGAGGGACGCTGCCAGGGAGTTTATTAATATTCGTGTCTCTACGAGTTTTTGTAGTTTTTTTATCGTACCCACGACTCCAATTATTAATTATGACGGTCATTTTAAGGTAACACATTTTTTCAATGTCAATTTCAAGATACTCACAATTATTTATTTTATCATATTCTTCAAGAGATTTATTTTTATCTTATGTACATTTATCTATAAAATGGTATTCTTTGTTTGTAATATTTAATTACAATATCTGGTCTATTAGCTTGTTGCCGATTTGAGCCAACCAACAAAACAGAAAAAGGCGAGATAGATTTTTAAATATAAAAATATAAAATATTATTTTCGTGATTTTACAACTAAATTTTTCGTAGCTGTTTGCGGAGATGAAAAGAAATGTGATTCCTTCGTGTGTATGTGTAAGAAAAAAGAGGCAAGGGAGAAAGTGAAATGGAAAGTGTAAATGTCACGTAGCTTGTTGAAGAAAAGTGTAAGTGTTAAGTAGCTTGGAGATGAAAAGTATTGAATGTCACGTAACTTGGTGAGAAAGAGTATAGGTATCACGTAGCTAGGTGGGGGAAGAGTGTAAGTGTCACGTAGCTCAGTAGGGGAGAGTGTAAGTGTAACGTAGCTTGACGAGGAAGAGTGTAAGTGTCACATAGCTTAATAGGGAGAGTGTAAGTGTTACGTAGCTTGGCGAGGAAGAGTGTAAGTATCACGGAGCTTGATGAGGAAGAGTGTCACTCAGCTCGGTGAGTTGGACGGGTGAATAGAGGAATCTGTTTGAAGTCATACGCATTGTAAACTGCTGTCGTCTGTATCCGTGTATTCTTCTTACTGGCTTGTCTGATCTAGTGAAGTTGCTTCAAGAGGATCGCGAAGCATGTCTTTTTTTTTATTATTGGCAGGAACGCAACCCATTGGTTGAAATATGTTAAATATTTATTTTTCAAAAGATTCATTTATTAACCGGAAGGATGCACGAATCCACCGACTCAGAAACCATTTTTATCTTCTGATGATGAACTGTCTTGGTGTTAAATGTATGTCAGTACGAATGCTAAAGTCCCAAAGAATAGTAACTTCAAAATAATGACTTGAAAAAGCTTCATCTAATAATAATAAAATGCAACATGATGACATTCCTACTTATTTATTAATGAGCGAAGATTCAGTAGATAGTTACGGGAAAAAAAGCGATTGAAATTAAGATGAAAGAAACACTGATCAAAAAGGAATAACAGCCATTTGTTTCTTTGATTCTTCTTTGTATCTGCTGCTCAGATAGAAAGCAACTCTCCGCAACAAATGATCAGGTCAGATTTGTCCACATTGCTGTTCTCTGCTTCAAATTAGACCTCTTTCTGGTTCAATTCACATCAAAATCTATCGACCGGATATGACCGCTGCGATAGTAAAATTAAATTTAAAATGTCGCTCTCCGCGCAAAGATCCCGAGCATCGCATCCGACTCACTAAACAAATCCTCCAAAATTTAAATAAAATCTAATCGTCGTTTCTTTTTCTTTCTGCTTCACAAGTGATACTTACTTGTTTTCCTTTGTTACTCTTGCAACCATCACATGAATCTATAAAATAACATCAAAAGCAGCAAAGTCATAAATCAATAATTGTTTACTGTTGTCCCTTTCTCAGCATTTATTTTTTGTTTGTTTCGTTTTTTTTTTTGCATCAATGTTTCCTTTCATTTCTTATTTTTGTGTCCTTTGTTTATCTCCGCTACCCGTTCAGCTGCTGGGCGTGTCTTTCGTGTTGACATAGAAGCATCTTAAACCAGCTTTACAACGCATGATTGTCTATCTCTGACTAGCTGTAATTTTTTTTCGTGCATGTCACGAACTAAAAGATGCGTCACGTGAAAGTCTTCATAAGGCGCGAAAATAGTCAACCCTTCAGAATAGCAGTTTAGTGATTATCTACTTCAATAATTAAATGTGTAATGTTTTTTTACGGGAATATTTTATAACACATTGAATAATGATGGGGAAAAGATTACATGCGCAAAATAACAGACCAAGTGATTTGCAATGCAACGATAACTTTTATTAAAACAAAATTAACAAAAGGAAAGTATAAAACGAGTATTTTTGTTAGACGTAAATTGTATACACAACGAAAGGTTCATTATTATGTTATAGTAGGTACTTACTTTGGTGGTGTGTTTTATGTGAAGCATTCGCAGCCCTTGTAGCTTCAGCGGGTAAAGTTCATATCAACAGTTCGAAAGAGGGAACCTGGAAGAAAGAGTTACTTTAGGGTTGACGTGTTATTATATTCAAGTGCTGCTGCTGATACAAGGTCTATTTACGGCTGCTATTGCTAATAAAGGGTACTAGAACAGCATTTTTGTTTGCTTTATTGTGTCCAGGTGCTTTGCTTTTTTTAGTATGTGAGAGGCTTGAATAAAATCTATCAATTTATTTGAATGTCCATCTTCTCATCCATACAGTTCATCCCCACCCACGATTTTCCCTTATGCTCCTTCTTTCAGTTGCATTGCCTTATTTCATTTGCATGATCTTTTTGTAAAGAATTTCGTCTTCGTCTGAATTTTAAAAAAATTATGTTCCCCGGCTTCAAAATTTACTCTTTTTTTTATTCTGGATTTTGTTTGTGCAAATGAATTCTACGCTCGTCTCTTTTAAAATCTTTCGACTCATCATTCAGTCGTAATAAAATTAAAAATATTTTTCTTACTTTGTATTTCATGTTTTTATTTTTCATTTATTCGTGTTTTTTATTTTTTTTCTTTCTTATAGATTTTTTTTTTATTCGATAAAAAATCATTCCTATAGCCACTATTTACATTTAATATTGCAGTGCGACAGAATTAGACGCAGCACAAATACTCGTTAGTCTATGGCATTTGCGTAACCATTAACTTACCACATCCATATTTTAGTCTTTCCTTGGGGAGGGGTCGTCCATTTTGTGCAATGAAATACAGCAATTTATTGTTCCAGACTCATTTCCCATTTTTGATTTTAACTGAGTTTTTCTCATAGAAAATCAATTTTTGCAATGAGACATTTTGCTTTCCATGTGCATCAAAAATGGAAATGATTGTTTTTCTTTTTGGACAGGCGGGTTTTCTAATTTAACGATTGTTGTGTGTGTCTTCAATTGTTTCCATTTAAATTTTGCATGCTTCTAGCAGATTCTTCTTCATGTCTGATTTCAATTCAATGAACCAATTCTTCTGACCTCTTCTATAATTTCTATCTCAGAAGACCAACTTCCTTTTCAAGATATGCTTTTAACCAAATCAGCAAATTTATGCCTTGTTACATTTCTATGTCTTTAGCATTCTTTGCCTTGAAAAGGCATTCTTCTTCTTCTTTTTTTTTACCATTCTGTTTTATTTCCAATTCTTTTCTTCTTTTATTGTTTCTTTCAATTCTTTTACTTTCTTCACATTTCCCTTCGACCGTTCATAATTTCTTCTTCTTTACCTTTTTAATTATTCTTCCTTTTTCTTCTTCTCCTTTTCTTCTTTTTTTTTCTTCTTACTCTACATCTTGCTTTTATATCTTTTTCCTTTTTATCTTCCCACCTTCTTCATCCTTTTATCTACTATGTAAGCAAACCTTAAACTCAAATATATGTTTACGTTCCTAAATATCAAGTCATCAATCACGCAATTCACATAAATTCACTCGGGAAATATATTTTCATGACTTCAAAGTGAGAGAGAGAGAAAGAGAGAGAAAGAGAGAGACCACAAAGATAAAAATAAAAATAATTCGTGTCCATACAATCAACATATTCGTATAAAAACGCAGTTATAATCTAAACAACACATACACACGCTAGGTGGGTGGATGAAAGCAATGTTGTTGAGAAGCAGTCTATCTCGTCAATACAGACGAGCCTCGTGGACTGTACTGTCAGCCAACAAAACTGAGAATGATAATCGGTGCTAAAGAGAGATTATCTAAATTCTCGTTCAAATGGAATTAACAGAAGAAGCATGATTCTTTTTTCAGTCTCGATAATCCTTGTAATCAACCAAAAGTAACTAAAGACATGCTTTATATGTTTTTTGTTTTGTTTTTTTTTTCTGTGATCGGTTGAGTTTTCTACTTTTTTGTTATTCCATTATTTTAAGCTAAAAGAATTTTTTTCCTA